TCTGTCTGTCTATCTATCTATCGTTCTTTCTATCATCTATCTATCTATCTATCTATCTATCTATCTATCTATCTATCTATCTATCTATCTGTCTGTCTGTCTGTCTGTCTGTCTGTCTGTCTCTGTCTGTCTGTCTATCTATCATCTGTCTGTCTATCGTCTGTCTATCGTCTGTATGTCTGTCTGTCTGTCTGTCTGTCTGTCTGTCTGTCTATCCAGGGTTTGAAATGAACTTTTTCACTCACCAGCCAATTTGGCTACTAAATTTTTATATTTTTAAGTTACCGGCCATTCATAATTTCTACTAGCCAAAAAAATTAAACAAATAAATAATGAAAAAAAGGCCTAAGCCAACAGCTTGAGGCTGTCCACACTGGATGCGACAAAGTGACCATTGCAAATAATTTGTACTTTGTCAAACAGTAGGCCTACATCATAAATAGAACGAGGCATCAGTTTACTGTCGGGGATTTGTCGTGCTGTGCTGCGCCACATCCAGTGTAGGCCACATCACCGATTATAATGGGTTCTATAGTATTTTGTCGCATCTGGTGTAGACACGGTGCAATCTTCAGGCATTTATTTTTTTTTCGTTATTCCTTCAATGCAAAGTAAACCGGGTGAACTATCCCTTTAAGAACTTTATAATATTTGTAAATGGAAAGCACCTCATTTATAAGTGTCTCTAAATTACAGACACTGATATTTATCTTTAATCAGACTCTTACTGAATTAACATTTTACTTAAATTAAAATGAATTTGAATTAAACATTTAAAGAGAAATAAGCTATTAAAGTTGGTTTACAGTGCAGTTTGTTTACATGCATTTTACCTTGTCGTGGCTGTTTTCAGGCAGAACCTTTAATGTTGTCATATCACACAACTGTATAACACAATTCTGTGTCATTTCTGAATGGATCGAGCGATTTGCGCTGTTTATCTCTTATAAATCATTGCAGAAGCGCAGTGCTGTGCAGGAGACTGATCCCGCTCTGCTTTAACGCGCGGCTGGCGGATGCACCAGGTAGCACTGCTTCACACTTTTGGAGTTCTTGCTTTTTGCAGTTTCGCGTGGGCTGTAATTTAAAAACAGCGCCTAATAGAAGGGCTCCCTCACATAATAGAATGTCCCGGTGCTCCCGATGGCTAGTAGCTACATCGCTGGGTATGTTCAAGTAAGCTAGATATGCCCAGATGCTGCGCAAATAGGCTTATTTAATATATCATGATGAGTCTCAAGTTCAGTATTTACACTAAATCTGCACAGATTTGGCTTACATGAACATCCTCAAGAAATTAATTAGTAAACATAATTTACGAAAAGTAACCCGCCAAATTGGCTAGTGATTTGACGGCGTTACCCGCCAGAGCTGATTTTTTTTTGGCTGGTTGGCGGGTGTTAATTTCAAACCCTCTATCTATCTATCTATCTATCTATCTATCTATCTATCTATCTATCTATCTATCTATCTATCTATC